AATACATTTAACCCAACATTATTTTCGTAATTAATTAATTAATTAGCATTAATTCGAAAAAAAAAAATGAGGAAAAGGGAGGTTTGAAGTAAGCGACAAAGCGCGCCCCACCGCACCAGGGCCAAGGCGACTTCTGTGATCTAGGGCCGCCAGCCGCCACTGAAGCACGCCAGCTTCACTCCCACTGATTTATTTCAGGACCGGCCCAGGGCAAGTATACCTAGCCCAATCGTACAGGGCCCAAAAATTTAGAGGGCCCAAAAGAAAAAGAGAAAGTAATATAGTACTACTCCAGCCCAGAAAAACCTCCGCTCTTTAGTCGTGACGCACAAGCACACTGCACTACGCTCAACTTGGAAGCTCTGAAAAGAGTGAACGCGTGACGAAGCCGGACTGACCGACGACAGCTGCTACCCCAGCTCCAGCCCGCCGCCCCGCCTCCACGAGTCCAGTCAGTCCACCGCCCCAGTAACTCAGTAAGCAATTAAATAATTAATTAACTCAGGCTCAACACATCCATGAGAGTACGAATTTTAGATTTTCTGATTTGTTTAATTGCGAATTGCTCCCGCCGTCCCGATCATTTCTTCCAACTTTCCCTTTTAGATCGTCCCAATTAATTCTTCCAACTTCGACTTTTGGAAAAAATATGTGGTTCACATTCATTCACCTTTTTCTTACACAACTACAACCATACATTTCCACTTTATTCTCACTATCTAATATTGCGAGCCAAGTCAATTTAGGAAGAACTCACCGGGACCAAGGGAGTAGGAATTACTGAAACTGATTTCATGTTTCTTGAATTGGTGCATTGTTATTATTTGTTTATTTTTTGCTATTAAAGTAAATGTCTAATTGGATTGATAATAAATGTGTTTAATAATTACTCCCTCCGTCCCTGCTAACATTGGGACAAAAGGGTGTGACGCACAAATTAATAAAAAGTGGTTTATGTAGTTGATATTGAATTGATAAAGTAAAAATAAAGTAAAAATAATTTAGAGCCACACAAACTTTACCAAATTTGACATGACACAATCTTATAGGGACGGACCTATAAGTTAAAATGAGTCAATCATATCATGACGGAGGTAATACTACGTAAGATTTAAGAAATTGGTATACATATATTATTATGTAACTTGAGATTCATAAATTATAATTATATGATTTCATCCTAAATTTAAACTGAATTTTAATTTCAAGTTTATCAATGTGTACATAATAAGAGGAGAATTTCAATAATTGATAGTAATTATGTTTCCGAATAAATACCCATCCATCCGTTCATGATAAGCGTCAGAAGAATGTGAAACAATAAAATGTGAAACACTCCAACAAATTGACACTATTGCAAGTTTGGTAGATGATCTTTGCATCTAAATATGCTCAAAAATGTCTCTTTTTAGTTCAAATGTATTTTCTTAATGACTACTTTTTATTTTTATCATTATGTTCATCAGTAACTTGTATTTTAACATAATTTACTTGTGTTGGAACTTGGAAAAAAGGCCCAAATTTTATCGTTGAAGGCGTGAGCTGTGATTCCCGACGCTGAAGGCCTGAAGCTGAAGCAGGTCATAATTTTATCATTATGACCACTTTCTCAGGACCGTGCTGCTGAAGGCCTGAAGCTGTGATTCCCGACGCCTTCCGTGAGCTGTGAAACTGAAGCAGGTAAGTTCATCTATTTTACTTTTTTAAATGATATACTATGATTTTCTTAATATGTTTGGGGATTGTTATTTATTAATCTTTTTCATTATTATGTGAAATTCTAATTTAATTGCTGGTTTTAATTATTTATTAGGGCCATTAGGGCTTAGGGACTTAGGCCTACTAATCTATGATGAAATTTAACAAACTAGTTTGTTATTTTTTATTTTGTGTAATTGTTTGATGAATTAATTAAACTATTTATATTTAATAAATTGGTATAAATATGTTATTAGTTATAACTTTTTAGGTTGTTGGTTTAAAGTCATTAAGTCAAAATTAAATTAACTTTTAACTTAAATTTGTAAACATGTACATGATGATAGGAATTATATTTCCAAAAGAAAAGGAAAAACAACATTGCATTTGTTTTTTAAGCCTAGTACAAGTACAGAAAAGAGACATGATTTAAATGACTTGATTGATACTCCAAATAATTATTCTCTTATTAGAAGCCCAACTTTATTATCATCCTAATCTAATGAAGTAATGATGATGCATTTCACTTGTGGTTGGTGTCGATGTGGTTTTGCAGCACATTAGTCCTCAGCATCTTTTTCTTACTTGCTGCTCTCTCACAGTTGTTCTGGAGCTTCATTGATCATGCTTCTTGCTGGCAGGGCCGTCTAATGAATTTGGAGGCCCCGATTCTAAATATAAAATCGAGATCCACATTAATATGAAAAGTTAAAAAGATCTCAATCTAAACACGTATACTGAAATCAATTGAATAATCATTAAAAGAGAACTAAAAGAGTGAAAGGACCAACGAAAAAATGACGGATCTATATTTTTCTTCCTTACTAATTGTATTTTACCGATTAGTATTAATATATAATATTATTATATAATACTAATAAATTTTTAAAAATTTTGGACCCCGTAAATCCGGGGGCCCTGTTCTGGATAACCTATTAAACCCCCTAAAAAACGGCCCCGCTTGCTGCCTGAATTCTTTGCACGTTAGAAGCAGAATTTTATCATCTTAGTTCTCTTGAAAGTCCACTATATAGCAATGGAGGTTACTACCTTATACTTCCTGTATATGATTTTTATAGATTGAATTTCTCATGAAATTTGTCACGGATTTTTAATTTCCTGTACATGATAAAAGAGAATTTTATCATCTTAATTCTCTTGAATCATCTTAATTTGATGAGATGTTCGATCTATGCATTGAATTTCTTTTCTTCTAGATTTATATCTATTTTCTTAATGTTCAAACAGTAATTGAAATTTTGAATACTTGTTATAATGTTTTAAAGTTTGTACTTAATTCACATGTGTTACATATCTGTACTATCATGGGCTTTGATTTTTATTATTACTTTATGAAAATTTCTTCCGCAATTTGGCTCTTAGATTCTTACAACCATTCAGAATATTCAAGTTTTGTAGAAGGAATTCTAATTTCCTCATTGTTTTTAAAATTTCCTTTTGTTATTGTACATTCACTCATTCACAAAGAAATTGCTAAATTATTTCTTATGCTTGGTTTTACTGTGGAAAATCAAAAGGAAAATAAAATATGATAAAAGCCTCTATTTTTAAATATGTTTAGATTTCATAGAAATAGAAAAAAATAATAAAAAACAAATTTATGTGGTAATTTTTTTTAAAGGGAAAAATAATTTAAATATCCTGAATTTTGAAGGGGCGTGGGGTAAATACCCCAAACTTGTATATGCAATATGTGTGTGTACCTCAAACTTTTTATAAAAAATAATGTTAGTGCCATGAATATATGTTATTTCTTTCACAAATATAAATTTATGGTGTTAAAACATAATACATAATTTAAAATAGAAAAGTGTTTATGAGGATGCAATTAACATTCTAAGCTTCCATTTTAAATAAGTAATATTACCTTTGGGTTATGTAGTTGCACACCTTTTAATTTGATACTCCCTCCGTCCCTGAAAATACTTCCAACTTTCCCTTTTCGTCCGTCACAAAAAGAACTTTCCTTTCCTTTTTTGGCAAAGAATTTGTGGTTCACATCATTTCTCTCTCCTCTGCACAACTCTCCACCACACAATTCCCACTTTCTTAATCCGCGTGCCACTTTATTTTGGAAGTAAATTATGGGACGGAGGTAGTATTTGACAATACAAGACTTTCACCATTGACATACTATTGTATTTAATTGACTATTACTATTAGTAAAAATTATAAAAAACAAAATATTTTAAATTTTTTAATGTCAGACTAATATTGTAATATTGTATATAGAACAATTATTTAGTACATGAGTAAATGTAGTGAAGTTAAAGTTGACTATGTGAATGTGTAAAAAAACATAGTATATAAGTAGTGTAAAACTCAAAATGTTTCAACTATTAAATTACGGAAAAAGTATGAGTCTTGGTGTTGAGGTCACCTATAATGTACTCATACTTTACCTTTACTTTAATAGCTAAAATACTATGAGTTTTATTCTATCTTCATACTTTACTTTGACTTTGACACTATTCACACACTCTACTTTGACTACATTTTATTTATTAATGTACTAAATACTTCTTGTATATAAGATACTATCAAATATTAAAATTTGTCCCAGACTAAAATATAAAATATATCATTTGCATATTTTTTACTAATAGTCAATTAGATATTTTAATGTTTAAAGTCTTGTGTTGACAAATATCAAACCAAAAGTTTTGCATCTACATAGACCAAAAGTAATATTATTTATTTCACAAATGGAAGCTGAAAATGTTACCTGTGTCTCCACATGCTTAGAGTATTTTATACTACTTCATCCGTCTCTTTTTAGTTGCAACAGTCAACATTTCACGTTTGCCAATACACAATTTTGACCATCATTATATTTAATTATGTATTAGTAAAAATAAAATAAAAATCATATTATAAAACTTAGTAATGAGATGAATTTAACAATATTTAAAAAAAAAAATGATTCACATACATCAATAAATAAAATGTAGTCAAAGTAAAGTATATGAATAGTGTATATATTCCAATGTTGCAATTAATGGGATACGGAGGGTAGTATTATTTTATAAATTTACATTTGTGAAAGAAAAACATAAAGTCATTGTGCTAACATAACTTTTTATGTATTTTCGGGACATATATATTAGATATGCTCATATGCAAGTTTGGGGTACATACTACATAGACAGGGATGACCCTGTGCCTGTCTGTCCAGTCCAACCGCACAGGGCCCGGTTTTTTGAAGGGCCCAAAAAAAATAAAAATTTAGTATTAGACCAAGCCCATTAATTTTAGCCCAAATCTCTTTCCCCAAAATCCAGGACAACACCCTCAGCTTCCGCTATTCCCCTGCGCAGCAACCCACGCCCAAGGGCCAAGGCGATTCTGCCGATTCAGACCTCCGCAGCTCCGCCGCCTCCGCGTCTCCATTCGAACCGCACACCGCACGCCTGCACGCCGCCGCCTGCAGTCAACCAGCCGCCCGCCTCCCTCACTCCCTCACACCCTCAAGCTCCCTGCTCGGTTGCTCCCGCATGGCCGCCTCTGGGCCTCCCTCAGTCCAGTCGTCCAGTGGACTTCCGGTCAGTCCACAGCATCCAGTTTCTTTTATTCATTTAGTTGCTAATTTGCTAATTCTTGTGAACTTTTGATTTATTGAATTGATGAATTGTTTGTTGAATTCTTGTAATTTGTTTATTTTCAGATTTAATGTTTGTTGAATTGTTGTATTGTCGTTATTTGTTTATTTTTTGCAGTTAAAGTAAATCATTATTTGAATTGATAATACAATGTATAATTTTGTAAATGTGTTTAACAATTAAAATTTAAGAAAGTGGTATAAATATATTATTAGTTAACTTGAGGTTGATAAATTATAGGGGAAAATAATTAAAATACCCCAAACTTTGAAGGGGTGTGAGATAAACACCCGAACTTTCATATGTAAGTTAAATACCCCAAACTTTATATAAAAAGTTATTTTAACACCATGGTTATGTATTATTTCTTTCAAAAATGTAAATTTATGGTGTTAATTGCATAAATTAAAATAGCAAATTGAAAACATTAGAATTATATATAGTGGTGGGTAATACTATTTATTTTACAATGGAAGCTTAGAATGTTAATTGTATTTTTATGAATGCTAAAAATTATCAAATTATGAAATAAACACCAAAAGTTAATATTTTTGAAAGAAATAATACATGACCATGGTGCTAAAATATTTTTTTGGTAAAGTTTGGGGTATTTAAATTACATATGCAAGTTTGGGGTGCTTATCTCACACCCCATCAAAGTTTGGGGTATTTTAATTAATTTCCCCTAAATTATAATTATACACTAGTATAATCATTCATGTTTTCACCCTAATTTTAAACTGAATATTAATTTAAAATTTATAAACATGTACATGATTAGAGGAGAATTTCAATAATTGGTAATAATGTTTCCATATAAACTGTAAGTTAATAATGACTTTTTTCATTTTAATCATTACGTTTATTAGTAACTTGTATTTTAAGACAATTTGCTTGTGTTGCAACTTGAAAAAAGGCCCAAAATTTATTGTTGCACAGGGCCTCCGTTTTCTCGGGACCAGCCCTGTACATAGATCAAAGGTTAAATTATTTATTTCACAAATGGGAGCTTGAAATGTTAACTGCGTCTCCAAAAATGCTTAGAGTATTTTATACTCCGTATTATGTACTTAGCAATGTAAGTTTATATTTGTGAAAGAAAAAACATTTAGTCATTGTAGTAATATAACTTTTTATATATTTTCGGGGTATATGTATTAGATATGCAAGTTTGGGGTACTTACATCACACTCATTCAAAGTTTGGAATATTTAAATTATTTTTCCATTTTTAGAAAATGAATTAGGAATATTTATTCGGAACCAGTGTTTTATTTTATTTAACAATCTTTTTCCTTACAATTTTTTCCATTATTTCCTCCATGTTTTCTTTCCCTACCATTTTTCAAGTTTCAAATAGACCCAAATGGTCTGTTGCTACTCAGACTGTCCTTCTTTTATTTGCCTATCTAATTGTTTGCTTATAAATGTTTCGGAATATTTCTTCAAACTGCAGGATAGTTCTGAAGAGATGGATGTGAAAGTAAAGAAATATCTCAGAGGAGAACCAACAAAATATGAGGTTCTATTATGATGTTTATGTGTTAATTGGTCTACATGATAGTTGTCCATTATGTGCTTGAATTGAGCTATATATTTGATTATTTTCAGGTCTTAAAAGATAAGAAGTTGAAGGGTCAGCTTGCTGCAAGAGAAGAGTTGTATGGAAGATCTGCAAAAGCTGCTGCAAGTGCTGAAAAGGTTTCTATTTTACTCAAGTTGCTATGTGAAGTACCTATAATAGTTACCAACTATATAACATTATAACATATAATATGTATTATGTACTGATGATTCAATGTCTTATTAACCATTCAGTGGCTAATGCCAAGTGATGGGGGGTTTCTCGAAACTGAAGGGATAGAGAAGTCTTGGAGAATTAAGCAGGAGGCAATTGGCCGTGAAGTAGACATTTCAAGTGCAAGAAATCAATATGATATTGTCTTACCAGGTTAGGACAGGGGGCATCTTATGATTATTATTTAACTTTGATATACGGAGTATATTTTTCAAAAGAGTCTAATTTATGACCTGATGATGCCTGTTGTTTGTATCATCTAAAATCATTTGCATTTCATTCTTGAGATCATTAAAATCACTTCACTATTAATTTACTCTTCTCAATTGGATACATCTGACAAAAGAATATTAAACTGGATCTCACTATCTTAAAAACTAACCAAAGTAACAGATGTGAACCAACTAGTTGCATTTGTCATGAGACAATTAACTTACCTCTTGAAATGAAATTGTATGATGGAGTAGATTTAAGTAACCACAAAAGCTTACTGAGATTTGACTCATGCTTTATAGTCTCAATTGGTGAAGAACTATTGGGAATTTATTACAAGACTTGCAACAGTTACAAGTAGTTAAATGAAAATTGAGTACTTAAACTTAATTAATTAAAGTCTAAATCTGATAATTATAGAATATCTGGATATATAATTATATTTATATACTTCACTAGGATCACCAATTAGGATTTTTATCTAACGAGGGTGATGTTATGGACGTGCCTATGATATTCTTACATGGTTTAGAGATATTAATTTTTACAATTATTACTCTCCTATAATTAATTAGTACAATTAGTAATGGTGTATTATTATTATTATATTATTATTATCATTATTATTACTATTTAGACTTTTAGTATTAGCAATAATAATACCATGCACGACGTATTTATTATTTTGTTATAGTTATTTCCCAATTCACTGATAGTAATCTTCTTATTGGCATTTAGTTTGATGTTTCCTGTTATGATTAGAGATCTTGTGATATCCAATGTATGGATCCTCTATATAGATTAATGAACAAGTTTTTGGAGAATTAGTTGTTTTGTGTCTTGACGCTGTTGACGGGTGCCAATCAATCCCACTTCAAGTACATATCTGAAATACTTTTTTTAAATATGTCTTCCTAGATCTTGGATTAGCATACATGGCATATGTTTGCATGCATAATTTATACAGTGTAAACATTACTCATGTTTTTGAATTTCTACTCACAAGAGTTGTTATACAACGTGTTTGCAGATCTTGGACCGTATACTCTGGATTTCACACCTAGTGGTCGCCACATGGCTTTAGCTGGGAGGAAGGGACACCTTGCGATTGTGGACATGAAAACACTTAATCTTGTTAGAGAACTACAGGTAATATTGAGTTGTTGAGGGTCGTGACAATCATGTGTTCGTTGTAAATAAATTAGCAGCTATTTTGTGTTTACAGGTTAGAGAAACAGTGCGTGATGTAGTATTCTTGCACAATGAACTGTTTTTTGCTGCTGCTCAAAAGAAGTAAGATACTTGTTTTCTTCCAATTGATGCTTACATTCAATATTGTCTACTAGTAATTGGGTTACTGTTTAAATGTTAAAAACCAATGTTCTACAAAGCTGTTGGTGCCCTCCCAGGGTCAGACTCGGGCGTAAAGACTAGTTTGAAAGTTGAAATTAATTAGGGTTTACTCATTTCTAAGTAGAATTAGATTGGGCCTAATTGAGACTCTGCAGGGATTTTTACAACAACGTTTGTAACCACATACATTCCATGCCATTTAGGTGTTGTTTGGTTTCGGGATTTTGTAGGGGATGTGTGGCATAAAATTGGTTTTACACTAAGTTATCAATATTTTTTACTATTATGTACTCCGTACTTATGTATAAAATAAATAGCTGTTTAATTAAATCATGTATTCTTTTTATAATATCTAATTTTACTCATCTTCCCACCAACTAATGTACCTGTAGATTAATTAATAAAATAAATGCCACTTCCTTCCAAAACCCTGCCAACCATAAAAACTCCGTTTGGAATGAAAGAAAAAGTTGAGGAATACAAAATATTGATTCATGCTCATTAAATTTATTTTTAATATTTAATGGCATCTGTTTTGTTCTGTTCATTTTATTTTGGTAATACTAATCAATTTATCACATTTAAGTTTTCCTATATATTTCGTTTTTACATTTTTTTAGGTAAATCTAAACATAAAATATTAGATTTTTAGCATTGCCATTCCTTTTCCTACAATTTTGTGAGCCGGTGTTGTCTTTTTTTAAAGTGGAGCCTTTGTTTTTATATTTAATCATATAAACTACGGTAACAGGTACCCTTACATATACAATCGGGATGGTACGGAGCTCCATTGCCTTAAGGTTGGCATATCACATCATAATCTTATGCAACTTGAATTTCTACTTTCACTTCATTGATTATTTTAAAGAATGTGAAATCTTTATTGCCTTTTTCAGGAGCATGGTCCAGTGCTAAAGCTTCAATTTTTAAAGAACCATTTTCTATTGGCATCCGTGAACAAATATGGTCAGCTGCATTATCAGGACACCACCACGGGGTTGATGGTTGGAAACTACCGAACCGGCCTTGGCCGGACTGGCGTAATGAAAGCTAACCCATTCAATAGTGTGATAACTGTCGGGCATTCAGGCGGAACAGTCAGCATGTGGAAGCCCACAAGTGCTGCCCCCCTGGTGAAGATGCTCTGTCATCACGGCCCCGTCAATGCCTTAGCCTTCCACTCCAATGGGAATCTCATGGCCACCGCTGGTATGGACAGGAAGATAAAGATCTGGGACTTAAGGAAGTTTGAGGTTGTCCAAATGCTCCACGGACATGCCAAGACCTTAGATTTCAGCCAAAAGGGTTTACTTGCATGCGCAAGTGGATCCATCATACAGATACATGGCGACCTCTCTGGGTCCCATAAAAACCTGACCCGTTACATGACACATTCTATGGCCAAAGGATACCAAACACAGAAGGTGGTCTTTAGACCGTATGAAGATGTTTTGGCAATTGGACATTCTGCAGGTTGGTCTTCAATTTTGATTCCCGGGTCAGGCGAGCCCAATTTCGACACTTGGGTGGCAAACCCTTACGAGACGATTAAACAAAGGAGGGAGAAAGAGGTTCGGTCTCTTCTTGACAAGCTTCCTCCTGAGACAATCATGTTGGACCCCACAAAAATTGGAGCCGTGAGGACTAATAATAAGGAAAAGATGACTAAAGAGGAAAGGAAAGCGGAGATGGAGAATGCTGTCAAAGAGGCTAAAGGCGTTAGAGTGAAGAATAAAACTAAAGGTAGAAGCAAACCGAGTAAAAAGGCAAGCAAGAAGCAGGATGCGATTATGAAAGCAAAGAGGCCTTTCATTGAAAAGGAGATGAAAGATGGGGTATCCAAGAAGAGGTTAAGAACTGGCAATGAGGACAGTCAACTTCCGCACTCTTTGCAGAGGTTTGTCAAGAATAAAACATCATGAAATATCCCAAGTTTTGGTATTTATTTAGGTTCTCATGTATTCCAAGAAATATAATATTGTTAGCTGTTTTATGTTATTTTTATTCTTTTTGGAATTGTCTATGAAACGGAAAAAAGTTTTGAGTTTATCTGCACGGCATGCAAATGCATGGCATTCTGGGTAAGAAAAGAAAACCTGCTTCCTGTCTCCACAGCCAAAGAATCATTTTACATCTCTGTTTTAGGTGTTATCATTTCATTAAAATATTAAAAAAAAGTTAGTTTCACTATCTTTTATATAACTAGAGTTTTCATCACAGATGAGTCGATAAACTAAATACTTTGTTGAGTCATGAAAAAACGAATGGAAGGGAAATTTAAGGGCATGCAAAGTAATTAGTAATTACTTGTATGACTTGTATCATATGTGAAAGTCCTGGAATAATATTTTGGTTGGATATTATTTTTGTTCAAATTATTTTTATTTACAGGTCGTATTGTATGTAGGGGTATACTTGGCTGGTTCGGCCCGATCCGGGACCTGGCCCAGCCTGTTACTGTGCAGGCCCGACCTGACCCGGCCAGCTGGTACTGGGACTGGGACTGAGGCCCGAACCGGTGGCTTAAAGAGGTGGGCTATGGGCTAGAGAAATGCTGACTGCTAGATGGGTGGGGCTGGGCTGTTTGGGGGTGGGGGGTTGGTATTAATTCGAAATGACCCAAAACAAATTATGGAGCCTGACCCGGTCCTGGTACTAACCCAGGCCGGTACCGAGCCTGAATATTTTGAACCCGGAGCCCGGCCCCGATCCATGCCTAGTTGTATGTGACATAATTGTGGTGATGTGGTCGTTTAATGACCACGTTGTGGTAGCTTTCTCAGTGGGAATCATCAACGTAACTTATGCTTCAACATTAAAATGTTGAACCTATATCTTGATGCATGAGTGATGAGACTATGAGAGTAACCAAGAAAGTGAAGAAACGATGTGTTGTTCCAGGCTTCCAGCGGTACAATTTAAGAGTTCCATGTTCTTTGTCATGTATATTTCCCAAATCCCTATACATGAGAAACATATTCTTTTTGTACCGTTAATATTGTCTCATCTTTCCTTTTCACTTCGTCTACTAAGATAGTCTCATACTAAATTTGGTAAACTTTGTGTGCTTCTAAATTATCTTTACTTTATTCTTACTTTATCAAATCAATATAGAGATGAACCAGTTCCGGGCCGGGCTCCGGCTCGGTCCAAACCGGGCTGGGCTCCGACCCGATCCAAACTGGGCTTTTTTAGTGGGTTTTATGGCCCAGAACCGGTCGGGGATTCTACCGGGACCAGGTCAGGTAGCGATGTTTTTTTTCTTTTCTAATTAATTCTTACCCCCCACCCCCACACCCCAAACCCCTCCAAAACACCAAGCCTAACCCGCCTACCACCCAAAGGCTTTGAAAGAAAAAAAATTGGCTCGGATCGACCCGGCCGGTTCCAAAGAAACCCTTTGCCTGAGCCCGCCCCCAAAACACCCCCAGGTCGGGTCTTAGGCCCGGTCCCGGTCCCGGTCCCGGGTGACCGATCCAGGCATGCTCAGTGGCGGGCCGGGCCGGTTCCCAGGCCGGGCAAACCGGAACCGGTCTATCCCTAATTCAATATCTCAATCACATAATCTCGCTTTCTAAATAATTGTATTACATCTTCATGTCTCAATGTTGGTGAGACAGAACTAGTACAATATAAAAGTTTCTGATGGAGTATATGGCCCGAGAACCCCCGGCCCACAGACTCCTACTACTCCAACAAAGGCCCAACAGGCCCAGAAAGCACAACAGGCCCAAATCACAGTGCCCGGAGTACCAAGCAGCCCACAAATGCGCACCAGGGGTGCCCTCGGCCCCCTGGCCGAAGACTCTAACTCTCACAAGAGGGCCAAGACAGGAAAAAAAAGTTACTGGGAAAAACGGCGAAAATCAGTAGCCCTCGGCAGTGGGAGCCCTCGGCACTAAGGGGGTCCCTGGTACTCAGAGCCCTCGACTAGTCATCTACTGCCGAGGGCGCCTCTTCCGACACAATATCCGCTCCACATGTGTACAGATCACCGTACCCTGTACAACGTCCCATCCAACAGCCACATTAAATGCGGCCACATGCGGTTGCCAGCGCCAACCAGTTGAGGTGACCCCTCGGCCAATGAACGCTTGACACGTGTCCCTGTCCGGCATTTATTGCTACTATAAATAGCACCCCATTTCCCCATTTGTAACCACGCTGAAAACGCTGAACACTCTCCAATATACTTTCTCTCTCTATACTTACTTGCTCTGACTTCTCTCTTGTTATTTCCCGTAATAACCCCTCGGATAAGCTACCCCCGGGTACACTATCCATCATTTGGTGCTCTCGTTGAGAGGTCGAACAATCAAGTAAGAAACCCTCCCCCTCGACCAAAAACACCCAGCCAAAATGGTGAGAACAACTCGTGCCAACTCCAAGAATGTAGAGGACAGGAACCTGACCCTCGGCGAGGTCGACGTCCCCGAAGCCTCCAACAGGGCTCCCGGGGGCGGCATCATCGCCGGGTTGGACCAGACGGCTGTCGACCTACGCCAGCAAATTCAACAAAATGCCCCCGATGCCCGCCTCGGCATCGAGGCCAAGAAGAAGGACCGGAGCGAAAACCAAATTAGCCCTCCGGTCATCACCATAGACGTACAATCGGCGCTCTCCGCCTTCATCCAGACGCTCACCCAGAACCCGGGTGCCTTCGGCACTTTGGTTCTCCTCCAACCTCAGGTAGGGGAGAATATTATGCCTCCCCCTCATCCACAACCCCTCGGCAACCCGGTCCTCCGGATGGGGAACTCCGAAGGGGTCGTGGCCCAAGATACGACCTCCCAGGAAGTCCAGTCCCGGGACCGCCACAACGTGAACAAGGAACAGCTCCGGACCTCTGCCCTCGAGAGACTCGGAGGGGCGCAAGACCGCCGAGGGGTCCAAGACCGCCTCGGGGGGAAGGCGTTCCAAAGGCCCCAGGAAAGTGGCGGGTCCGTCTCCAGGGCCAATGAAAGGCGTCCCCCTCAGAACAAAGGCAAGGCACCTCTCCATGCCGACGACGCACGCCATCAAATCAATCAAGCCCACTCGCCCCGGGTCCATTAGCAGGGGGAGGAGGCCCTCCCGAAGGACCCCCGGGACGAAATCATCGCGGCCCTCCAGCGCCGGCTTGACGAGATGGAAGCCACTAAAGCCCACGCCACCACTTCTGCCCCTCAGACAGACATCAAATACGAGGCAATGATGGCCAAGATGGAAGAAATACAGAAGAAGATAGCCGAGGGCTCCGGGGAACCCACCATACAGCTCCGGACCCGGACACCATTCACCCCAAGGGTATTGGCTGCCCGGATCCCGGAAAAATACCGAGGGCAGCTCATCAAGCCCTATGACGGAAAGACTGACCCCCAAGAGCACTACATCAGATATCAAAACAGCATGATGATGGTGGGGGCATCAGATGAATATTTGTGCCGCTGGTTCCTCTCCACCCTAGAGGGGCCAGCTTACGAATGGTTCAATCGACTGCCCGAGGGCTGCATTGACTCATGGCAAGAACTCGCCCAGCGATTCTTGACGCAATTTGCGGGAAGGCGTCGCACAAGAAAACACTTCTCCCACTTTCTAACGGTGAGGCAGAAGAAGGAGGAGACCCTTCGGGACTTCCTGGAGCGCTGGAGAACGGAGGCTGATAAAGTCGATGGCGCTGACGAAGGGACCCTCCTAGCCCTCCTACAAACAGTACTCCGCCACGGGAACTTCTCAAGGAGCCTCATCATCGAACCCCCCTGCGATTATATAAGGGCCCTACAGCGGGGGACCGGTACGCCGAGGCTGAGGAGGTGGAGAAGTACCACCATGTCCCAGATCAGCAACGCCCTCGGCCGGAAGAAAAAGGTAACCGGGGGCCGGGGGCTCCCCGCAATCATCCCAGGGATCCACCCCCCTCCGGTGATCGCCCCCGGCATGGCCAAGCCAAGCCCGGGGGAGGCTACAAGGGAAACCCGAGGGCTTGGGCACAGCCTGTCCTCCTGGAGCACCCTCGGACACCACTGACGCACCCCGTCAGCGTCATCCTGGATTTTGCTGAGGAGAGGGGCCTCGTGGAGCGAGATTCACGCGCGCCCTCGGAAGTATTTGCCATCAATCCAAACTACCCCTACTGTTGTTTCCACCGACACCAGGGGCACAGGACCGATGATTGCCATCAGCTGAAGACAACCATCGAGAAATTGCTACAAGCGGGCCATTTGTCCCAGTTTGTCCAGGGCCCTCAGCAACAGGCCCCCCCTCATCAGGGGCCATCCCGAGGGCAAACTGCGAGAGGGAATGCATGGGTCAACCACAACACCATCCCCCTCGGCAAGAAGAGGGAGATTGGAAATCTGGAGGAGGAGGAGGAGTACCCCCGGTACCAAGAAAAGAAACGCCAATCACTTTACGTGGGGGAAGTCACTCATATGCCCCCGGTAAAGCGGCTGAGGGAGGAACCCATTATCTTCACCAACGTTGATCTCCCCCCAGTATCCTGCCCCCACAGGGATGCCCTCGTCATCCGCACAGAGATCAACGACACCATTATTCACAGAACTTACATTGACACGGGCAGCTCCGTCAATGTAATGTACCTCATCACCTTCAGAGAGTTGCATCTGGAGAGGGGGTCCCTTCAGCCCATTAAGACCCCTCTTGCCGGTCATCTTCGGCGACGGCCTCCATAGAGCCAAGCTCGAAGTGGAGTTCGTCCTCGTCAACATCGACTGCGCCCACAACATCATCCTCGGCCGGCCAGCCCTCGAGGACCTCGAAGCCGTCATCTCCATGAGGCACCTCTGCCTCAAGTTCCCAGCCGAGGGGGGAATCGGTTACTCAAGGGGGAACCAAAAACTTGCCCGCGCTTGCTACCTTCAAGTTACAAAGAAGGTTAGCAAGATGGAGTTCCGCGTTGACACCATCACCGGAACTGTGGAAGCGGAAGAAAGGAGGCCGAGGGCTGAACCAGTCGAGGAGGTAGAAGACTTCGCGCTCGATCCGACCAAGCCGGAGAGAGTCGTGAAGATTGGAGCCAAGCTCCCCGAAGATTTGAAGACCGGCATCATCAGCGCCCTCCGCGCCTACTCCATTGTTTTTGCATGGGGGCCGGAGGACATGCCGGGTATCAGCCGAAGGGTCATCACCCACCGCCTCTCGGTGGACCCTTCGGCCAAACCAGTACAGCAACGGAGGAGACCCCTCTCG